CATCCATAATTGGAGCATGCGCAAAGCTTGGCTTGGCTTAGCGAGGTGATCGTTGCTGACATCTGGAATATATATATATATATATATATCTATTTTTTTATTTCTTATTATAAATTTTTCTATTATTATTTATTTATATTATTAGACTGTATGTGAAAGACCAGTCAAACTAATCAGATTGAATAAAAAATTAATTAACGTTAAATTTTTAAGAGATATCACATATACTCGTACGCATGTACCTTCGAGAAGAAGATAATCCATGAATCCCGCATTCTCCAAAGTTTTTGCCGCTGCCAATCCTGCAATTCCCGCGCCTACTATCACAACTCTCGTCTTTTCCATTTTTTTCGTATCAATCTCTATGCCCAACGCTTCATCGAAGTTGTCAATCAGTTGATCTAAGCGATTGTACGTTCTACGTCATCCGAAGAAATTAGTCTAATATATATTATTGTTAAATAATAAACAGCATACAACCACGACTAAGGATGTAAATAAGTTATATATCATTTGAAACAAATTCATAACAATAAGTAGACGTTTCGGTCAAGATTTGACCCTCTTCAGTACAATAAAAATGAATAATAAAATAACGTTAAACATTAAAACTAAATACGCAAGTCAACTGATAAATGTAGTGATAGCAAGTAACAAAAATTATTATTTCCTTACAATACAGTATCAATCGCAACAGATTAAAGTAACAGTTAATTGTTGTCGCGCTATATGAATAGAAAGAAATTACAAAAGTTTTTTTCCGTCATAACACAATTAAGAAATCTTCATTTAAAAACGACGAGCCCCACACGAAGAGACACACAAGTACCAATTTCTATTGTAAAAACAAAAATTTTTCAACAAGTAAATTAGATATCGTCGTATTATTGTAAAAAACAATCAGATTAAGAAATATGCTCCTGTTTAGATTCCACCCAGAGAATTATTTAAAAAAAATTTTTTTATTTTTTTGAAAAACCAACTGAACAAACTTACGTGTATCTTGGGGTGCAAAGACTCCTCTGTATGTATAACTGAACACTGTGACAATTTTAGTTAAAGAGTGAATTTGAACTGCAAATAACGACAAAAGCCAAAAAACGCTGGTCTATTAAGAAAAGGAAAAAGGAAGGGTAAGAAAAGGGAAAGGAAGGGGAAAGAGTTTTGAGTGGGGCAAGGAACTATTGTTCGAGGAGAGGGAGATAAAAATCTGGAAACCGTTCCATATCGCTTTGTTTATTTAAACCATTTTTTTGCATCTTAATATAAATCATCTCAGATATTAACCTTTTATAATGAGAGCGTTCCGAATCTAATATTTTAGCGTTATCTCAATCTATCACATGGTCTGTGTCCAATCTGTGATTTGAGATAACAGAGTGAGAATTAGCTGGTTTTTTAAAATCATTAATACGTTCCTTTAAACGCGTCTTTTATTTTCCTTTTCGTCTGACCGACGTACGAATAATCGCAATCCTTACAATTAATTTGGTATACCACGTTTGAAAGTTCATCTTTTTTTATTTTATCTTTCCTCGTTTTTACAAAAATGCAAAAATGCATGTTTTAGACGAAATGCACGATATACTCTCTGACAATAACACGTACAGATTGATTAATAAAGACCCTACTAATAAATTGACCACAGAAATACGATCTCTTTTAACATGCTAGAAATCGAAGGGCTTTATTGATCAATATGCATATAAAAAATTGTATATTTCGGATGGGGATCTACCAAGATCCTATGGACTGCCTAAAATACATAAGAAGGGCATCCCGCTAAGAATGATTGTCAGCTGCATCAACAGTCCTCTTTATAATTTAGCTGTTTTATTGAAAGAAATCATTGACAAAAGTCTTAATAACAAGAAAAATTTCGGTTACATTAAAAACAGCTTTGAATTGGTTAAGAAAATTAATGGTTTACCTTTGCGGGATGAGTATCGAATGGTTTCATTTGACATTTCGTTTATGTACTCCAACATTCCGAACGATTTAGCATTAAGGAGTGTTTTAGGCAGATGGGACTTGATGGAGAAGAATACTTCTATCCCTTTTCAAGAGTTTAAAAGAACCATCTCTATCATTTTGAATTCCACCTTTTTCAAGTTTAATGACTAATTTTACGAATAGATTTTTGGTTTGCCCATGGGATCGCCTCTATCGCCAATTTTGGCTGACTTGGTAATTCAAGACTTGGAGAATAATATTTTTAATACTCTCACCACGCACATATCTTTTTATTTTCGTTATGTTGATGATATCGTGCTTGCGGCTCCGATTAATCTTATTACCAACATTTTAGATTCCTTCAATTCGTACCACGAGCGCATAAAATTTACTGTGGATTATGGCGATGACAGGGGTATCAATTTTTTAGATGTAAAACTGTTGAGCGATAATGGTAGAATTATTTTCGACTTGTACAAAAGCCTACTAACTCTGGGAAATTTCTCAATTTCTTCTCCAATCACCCTACCATACACAAGAACGATGTTGTGATTGGGTTATTGGACAAAGTTCTATTTCTTTCCCATCCAAAATTCCATCACGTTAACATCAATTTTCTAATTAACACTCTCCATCGTAATGGATATCCTTTACAATTTTTATTTAAAACGATAAACAATAGAATAAAAACGTTATCAAGAAAAAAGAATTTTGATATCATTAATGAACATAATTTTAACACTAATACGGACATTTCTATTGAAAAGAAAAAATTTTTTACTATTCCTTACTAAAGAGAAATTCAATACAACTCTTAATAAATTTCAATTTGAATTGGTATACAAACCTATGAATAAC